GGACGAAGTTGAATTAAAGCCCGTCTTTCAGATGGACGTCGTCCTATTCAATCCACGATGTGTTTGCAATCGATTGATGGTATTAATGTCTTTTCAGGAAGTCCTTGCAATCCGATAATTATTAAATTATCAATGTGATCAAAGAAAAACCTGGAAAATACAAAAATCATCCTCTACGTCGTCTTCAACCATCAAGAAATGTACTTAGTTGTAATTAATTTTAATTTTAATTTCCGCATAAATATTATTTGAGGTTAGACTTGATCGGATTTGGAAAACTTGAGAATTTCCCCATGCGGTTGGTCAATTGAACTTTGTAGGATTTGTATCCTTGAGCACTAATTATCGGAATTTAATAACGTTGCCTTTGACTTCAATTTAAGATTGATTTCTCGGTTTTAGTCCTTGCAAGACTTTAAAAGGACTTTGCAGGACTTCGCTAGACATTTAAGGATATTAGAGGACATTCATGTAAACCAACAGTTTCAAACGAAGTTTATAATTGGCAATTATACAACCCTCTATACACACGCGTTGAAATTAAGGGTTGAATGTGCGCCGCCGCCCCCAGGACGAAAGTTCAACACGTTCCATATCCCGATGCGGGTTAAGAGCTAACCTGTTGCGCGGCTCATCCGCATTTAAATCGAGCGGCGGCAGACGCCCTATCCCGCAGCTGGATAAACATCCTTTTCACATCCTTTTTTTTCTTTTTCACTCTCCAGCTCGTGTTTTTTACCTTTTTTCATCGCTAATCGATAGGATGTAGCTTGTCGACCCAGACAGGCTCCTTGAAGTTTTTCCACGTCCTGGGGGCGGCAAACTCTAAGCTTGCAAGCTTAGTCCTTACTTCACTGTATGTGTGTGTGTGTGTGTTGCGGTGTCGTGCTCGGATGGAGCCATCCGCTCCGATCATATTTATGCGATGGGCCGGATTATCGACTGAGAAAGTCCGCCGCCTCCGTCGAGCACCGCCGCCGCGCTTAAATCGATTTATGGGACATCGAGTGCTTAAGATGTTTCGATAAATTCTTGTTAGATTGTAATTACGCGCGTGAGGAGGAAACTTTATCATGCCACCGCCCCCGAGACACTGGAACAAGGCTTAGGGGGATATCCTGCAAAGAATATTTATTATCAATTTTTATTCAGATTTTATTATAATAAAAATAGTAATATGGATGTTAACGCTAGGCAACCAACATTACACAAACGCAATAAAAATAAAAATAAAAGTTTTGTTACGGTATTTACACTTTATTTATTTCTATTGCGTTAGAATCACATGAGATCATTACCTGTTACATCATTGCGACATTTTTGGTTGAGTTTACGACGTTGCGACACTCACCAGAGTTTTTTTCCGCGCATAATTTTCTTACACCACAAAATAACACTTAAACATTAGTCATTCGAACATTTCTGTAACAACTATAAATACAAAATACCAAGTATTATTGACTACAAAGCGTGTCGAGCGTAAAAAATTGTTTAAATATCTTGTGCGTTCAAGCAAAACGCTCAATATTTATTCAAATAATAAACTATTCACGATTTAGAAATGCTAGAACAAGAATCACTGCAGAATTCATATTAAACATTTATTTAAAGCTGTAGATTTGCTAATTTGTAATTTGTAAAACTCAAATTGGCAAATATCTAACGTTAGCTTGTTTGTTTAATGACTCGTGCCAACGTATGTAAATTATATTGATGATGATGGTTGAAAATGGAAATTATACGACATCGGATGTTTGCGCAATAAACGTATTAATTCGACATGTAAAAATGACGTAAAACAACATCAAATGACGTAAATGTCCAAGACATTAACTAAAACAATTAAAATCATCGTATATTTGATTTATAACTGTTGAATTTATGACTTAATAAAGTGTTAATTGCAAAAACATGAATGAAATGAAATTTTGATGTGTTTAAAGTTGCCTACAGTGTAAAAGCTAAAGTATTGATTCTCTTATGTAAAAAATGTAACTTCAGCAAAGATTTGTATTTAATATCATGATTCATGACTTTTTCGACTTAGGAAATTGTGCAATATTGGGTTAGATGGGCTTGTGAACGTCCGGTCAGCTAATAGCCGGAAAAGTCATCCACTCAGTCGGATAACACGCCAATTTATTGACCGCTACCCAAATGGAGTGCACGTAATGCAAATCCGATATGATTCAATTTATATGCCGATTTTTACGAGTATCACATCGATTCGGATGTTTCCTAATGCTGTAAACGATAAAACCCTTACAAATCCTATCAATATGTAAAAAAATCGTATATCTCAGCATTTAACCACAAAATTTTAAGGAAAATATAATTTATCAAAATAAAAATATTAATTGTGTAATGTAGGCAACCAAATCTACGTTTAAATAAGGTTAAAATGATTTTTTAACTTTTATATGTTTTTCATGTGTTACTTTCACATGTTTACGACGCTAAATTCGCAATAAAATCGCACTGCGTTGCACTGTGCAAGTTTAAAAAAAACCTCCATAATTATGTGCATAGTTTATTGCAGAAGAAGCGGTCCGGCTGGTTACGCTCATCGCAAGAACTCTTCCGAATTGGGTCAGCGTACGTGTGTGGGCCAACAATATATTCGCGAACGCGACGATAAAAACAAGACAACGGACGTAATTTATGATTATTGCAGAATGTCCGCATACAAAATGAAACAGAAATTATATTTCAACTTTTTGAACTTGTATGCAATGTAAGTTGCCTACATTGATGCTGAAATATACAATATCTTTAATTCCCACGTTTAAATGCAAGAATCTTGTTCAGATGCATCGCCTTATTAAGTTCTTGCAGTGTTCTTCCTATAAAATCTAATGTTACGTAAGAGTCGCGATGATATCGTGCCATCTGCATGATAGGAGTCATTAAATCGATCGTTCCAAACACGTTTCGATGGCATGATGGCAAATGCGAATACGAATGAGTCGCGCAGCGACGACTTAAGTTGCGCGTCGGTCGAACTTGACTTCAACAGCGGCAGCAATTGCGGCAATTTATTTCCACCTCGTTCTAATTATGATTCAAACACGTATGTACAAAGTTTATGTTTTCTGCTTTAAGGCGAGGCTCTTGATATGATCGATTGATCAACGTGAGAGGAAAGACCCTCGGAGAACTCAAAAAAACCTAAAATTGAAGAAATTTGAAGTAAAAAAGTGAAAATTTATTTCAAATTACGGAAAATTAAAAATTTATGATTTTTATAATCAGTTTATTTATTTTTAGACTTTATAAAAGCCTTAAAAGTCGCAAAACTTGATTTTAAAGCATTTTTGATGACTTAATTTAAAAAAAAATTAAATTTCTCAGAAACGATGATGTTTTGTGACAAATAGAAAGTAAATATGTATTGGAGAATAGTAAATAAAGTTTATTAATGCAAAATGTCCTGTCACTATTGATCAATGGATAAATTACCTCGATTTGTCTTCATGTCCTCACATTAATGTTGATTCAACTTGACTTATGTCGACTTAAGTCACATAAATTCAAAATATCTTCTGTTTCTCTGCTTACATATGTTAATTTACCAAGCAATAAAATTAACTATTTAATTTTATTACATAAAAATTTCTGTAAAATTTCTTTATTTTCAGTTTTCTTCTTCAAATTAATTAATTATTTCCTACTGTTTCCAATTTCATTGTTTTTATCTTTATTTTCTTTTGTTTTTATTTTATTTTTTAAAGTCACATGTGGTTTTACCATCTTCGGCATCCTTGCAGAATTGTACTTTACAAGTGGCACGAACATCGAGTTTCGACTTCTTCTCGGTGTGCTCTCTCCGGAGCCACAGCACGCTTCTTTAAAAGTGCATGAAATTCATCTCACAACTCGCTCTACGACTTGCCAACGACTCTGGAGGCGACATTCGCATTGGAAATGCAATGAAATGCAGCGAACGACTGGTCGTGGACATATTGGAAACGCAGCCATTCATAAAAACGAGTTAGTTTTTTGTCTGCTTACTTTTCTACTTTTCCAATGCGTAAAACGGGTAAAACTATAAACATAAACATCAAACGTCTGTTCATTCAAAACATATTTCGTGACCCAACATACATGAAAATAATAATTTATGCAACCGGGTTAACATGTGTGTTTACATAGCCCACCATACACACAATATTAACTAAAGTAATTAGAAATCTATTAATGCTTAAGTTAACAGTATTTAACAAACGTTAAAACACATTAATTAAGATTTTAGTGTCATTTCTCTTTATAATGTGCAAAAAATAAAGAAAATTAAGTTAATCTGCTTTGGAAACTGTTTCTAAATTAGTTAAAAAATTCTTTTATTTGCGGTTTGAATGAATATTTGAATTACGTTTTTCATTCAGCTGTCAGCATGTGTACATACGAATTTGTTGCTGAAGCGAATCGATATGCGCAAGAGATGATACCAGTCATGATTGTTACGACTTCCTGTCGGCGTGCCGACGAGACGCGCGCAGACAATTGACCGGACCATCAAAAGTCGGGTCTTAAGCTGCGGCCGAAATCGTCGGATCTCGGATAATTACATTCTGAATGCGTACGCGTTGCTTTCCTGTGAGGAAGATTCATCGCCGGAGGCAATAAAAGCGAATAAACCGAGTTTTAGTAACGTGTTTATAAAGTACAAAGTAAAGGATGATTTTTTAAGTAAAAAAAAAATTTTTTTTTCGACAAAATTTTTTTTATTTTTTTATTTTATCGCTATTTACGCGTGGTTTTAATTAATTTTTTGAAAATATATATTATCATCAATCGGTCTGTAATCGTACTATGACTAAAAACTCTTATCTCACATTTGTAGATATTTACACAGTGTTATCTTGTTAACCATAATATAATGACTTTCATATACGAAATTCTACTCCTATTTGATTCCTACACCTGCTTAAATAAATCCCATAGAATATTCTCAACATCCTGTATAAAATTGATAACAATTTTCACCTCTAGAGCCGAGAAGATACCTGATAACAGATATTCCACTCGGAGTTGTTGTGCTACGTGCAACGCCCGTAATAATTATACAATTCCATCAATTTCCACCGAAAAACATCAAAAAACCAGTGAATAAATGTTAAAAACAAGTGAGTATCAAGTGTATAATATACTATAGTTGATGGATATTATTCCCAACATGCTAAACGAACACTATAAGTAATTACAGAGTGATTTGAAGAAAATTGAAATAAAATTCCAGCAGCAGCGTGTGCGAAGGACATTTTTTCATCGCAACGCGTGCGAATGCATTGCGAGAATTAAACAGTGGTTTGATGCGTTGATCGATTGACTCTTGGCCGCCATGTTGACACGACGGCACGATGACATGATGTAAATAAACAAAAAACAGGCGTAAACTGCGAGAGAAACGAGTGTACAGAGTTTGAGAAGTTTGTTTGCCTTCATGTAAGTAGTGCTTAATGAATTAATTGACAACCAGTCGATTGTAATTGATGAAAACATGTTTTTATTCAGAATTTATGCGAATTGTACGAATTTTATGTTTGTTGACGTTTATCGAATGTTAATACTATAATTTTTCACAAAAACTGTTTAAATATAGATTCTGTATTAAATTCTGCATCAAATTATGTTTTAAACAATATGGAAAAGTTAATATTTATTTAGTTATAAGCAAAACAAAAAATAATTGTGTAAAATTATGAATAGTAAAATTTTTTTTTTATTTTTCTTATTTACCCAGTATATAAACACTTTTAAAATAAAATATATACCAGATTAGATGCAGAATTTATTAAAGAATTATTCTGCGAAAGAATTATTATTCTATCTTATTTATTTTATGAGTAATCAAAGAAAAACAAATTTTAAATTTTAATAATTCTTATTTTGCAGGAATTATTAACTTACAACTCCAAAATGAAGCCCACACAAAACCCACTGCCAAAAATTACAATTCTACTTATTTTAATCATCATCCAAACCAATTTTGTTGCATCATTATGCCCCGAAAATTGCAACTGTAAATTCGACAATGTTGTCGCATGTCATCACAATTCCCTGAATCAGTTACCAGAAGACATCAGTTCAGAGGTAAATATATTCCACGTTGTATAATTTTAGACAACTATAACTATATAAAAAACATAATTGACGCAATTAAGTTAATTGCAATGCCAAACATTAAATTGTTATGGCGTAAAGGCGGAAAAAGTTGCTTCGAAACGATTGCATAATTTTAACAACGTCAAAATAGAAAAAAAATTTATTTTTAAATTAAAACACTCTGTATATTTCTATAAGACGAATTCCAGACAGATTATAACCGCAGCTACCTGTTTCTTTCAGGTGAATCTTCTAGATTTGTCCAACAATGACTTCACTTCGATACCAAAAGATATATCACAGTACCAACACCTTCAAAAATTAATCTTCGCACATAATCGGATCAACTCACTGGGATCTACCGTTTTTAAAGATTTACACAGTCTTGAATCATTGGATCTCTCCTGGAATACCATCCGCCGTAGCAGAGATCTTCATCCAAATGCACTTAAAAATCTAACACAGCTTAAACAACTGGATCTTTCTTCTAACACGTTGAAAACCTTTCCGGAATGCACAAGTGCAACTTTAGAACATCTAACATTAGAAAACTGCTCTATTTATGGGCTTAATCCAGGTATACTGAATTACTTCCCAGCTTTGAAGACGTTAAACTTTGCCCAGAACAGTATATCAGTGCTTCAAGATCAATTCAGAAGTAAAACTCTTCAAGTGTTTAATTTGACACAATGTCAGATTAAAACTGTGGATAGTACCGCCCTGAATAACTTTAAAAGTCTACAAGAGTTGTATTTAACCAGGAATTATCAATTGAAGAGTTTTAATGCAAATTCAACGACTTTGATTCATTTGGACTTGAAGGATTGTAACCTGGAAAGTGTCCCGCATAGTTGGTTGCCTAATCTGACTACATTACAACTATCAGGGAATCATATCCGAAGGATTGAAGCTGATTGGCTTCAGAATATGCCAAGGTTACAAAGGATTATCTTAAGTGATAACTCAATTGATTTTATTGAACCCGATAGGTTTACCCAGGCGATGTATTTAGTGACTTTGGACTTGTCACGTAACACATTCAGAAATTTAGATGAGAAAATCTTCAAAAACAGTTTAAATCTAAAGTTGGTTAATATGTCACGCACTTATATTGATGAAATGATTCCATTCCAGTCAAAATCATTGTTGATTCTTGATTTGACCAACTGTGAAATTCGTCAGATTAAATGGGATTCATTAAAGGGGATGTCAAAACTGCAGATATTATACCTATCAGGAAATCAGATCAAAGAAATCCCTTTGAATATCACATCAACGTCCCTGTTAAAACTTGATCTTTCTAATAATCGATTATCAACATTGAAGAATACAACATTCTTCAAGGTTCCAAACCTACAGAGTTTAAACCTGATTGGTAACCGTTTAGTACACTTAGAATTCTATTCCTCCTTCAGAGGAATAAGGACCTTTTTTGTGGGAGACAACCCTTGGAGGTGTGAATGTGAAAACAGAGGTTTTGAAAATATGTTCAAATACTTGAACGAAATCAACTCCGATGTTGAAGGAGCAAGATGTCAAACTCCCCAGAACCTCGAAGGTAAAACCTGGAATGAAGCATGTAGCTCAACATGGTTCCCATGGAATTTCGCACAGAGTGACAAAGCCTGGATGGTTTCAGTCACTATACTAGCTGTGTTTATCCTCAGCTGTTGTTTATTTGTGTCTATTAATCGTGAATGTAACAAAAGGAAGAAACGTCAACGTGAAGCAGATGCAGAGCGTCGTTCAGAAGTCCAAGAAAGATTAATGGCTATGATGCATGCAAGTCGGGATCACTTCAATGAAGAATCCCATAATGCACCTGACCCTAGAGCAGTCCAAGGACCTCCTAGTTATAACGAAGCCATTACACTTCCCCCATTAGGATCAACAGCTAGTTTGTATTCTAGGAAAGAAGAAGCACCTTCAATTCATGGTTCTACTAATACCATTAATCTAAACCAATCAAGATCCACTACGAATTTGAACAACAACAACCCAGAAACCAAAGAAAAACGAGTCCGTAGAAAGAAAAGACCTAAAAGTCCTCATAGACTAAACCGAATGAGTCAAGCAAGTCAGGAATCAAGAGATATCAGCGACGCTAACCAATCCAGTAGTCAACAGAGTTATGTCAGAAGTAGTAGTCACATGAGTGAGAGGAGCCAATCAAATCCCGATCTCCTCGATAAATCAGGCCGACCTCTATCGGCGAAAACCCGAAGACGCAGGCAGAGATCCCGCACAAGGTCACAAACCTTAGGCGAGTCTAGTAGTGATGATACTTCTGTCTTCGAAACCAAAATGTAGGTTATGTTGTTGTTTTAGTTTTTAGTTTCCATTAATTTTTATCAAATAGAAATATATTTATAACAACGTGTATTCGTTCTTTAATTTTTTTGACGTCACAATACTTAATACAAATAGATAACATTCAATTAAATATTTATAGAAAAAGAAAACTGTAATATATGACGTAGTAGAATATCTATTATGTTTGCAATTCAAGTAAAATATATATTATCCTGGCAGGCTATTATTTATTCATATGTATGTGATGACTATTGCATAATTAATTGTCTTTTAACTCCCAACAAGCACCAACGGGTTTATTTTTACGTTTATGTAATTTATTGCGACACTAGATGGCGCTAGTTGCGTCGAAGCAGCGCGGTCTGACTTAGATGATCACTTTTTCAAGAGGGGAGGTTAAGTTGAGCGGAAAGCGTCAAGCAATATTTTTTAAAGTTTTCCTTTGAACACTTTGAGTGTTTTTCTTTTACACAATGCACACACAGTCGTTAAATAAATAGGAACAACCATCTTTATCGAATCATATATATCACATCTTCACTTGTAGTTCCAGCTTCACGTGCAATTAATACTGAGGTATTAAAATGTCATTATTTCAATCGCACACTTTACCAGGAATGTATTCCAGTTGTTGTCATAACACAATTAAAATTGCTGATCCGATTCTGGGGTTGTGATGATCTGCCCATCTTGACTTCGTACTCGGTTGATCAGTAATGGTGTCTTTGGCGCTGTCAGTTCTTTTGCTTGTACAGTAACCCTATGTGTTTCAGGGAGTAAAGGGCTGTGATCACCTCGAGGTGACCTCATTGTAGCAGGGAAGTCTTCTTTTTCTTGAGGAGGTTCATTGATCAATGGTGTGGTCACCTCTGCTGGAGCATTGGGTGTGCTTCCGTTTTTGGGACCTCCGCCATTTTGGTTTCCGTTCTGGTTCCCATTTTGACCATTCATCAATGGGACCTTTTCTGGGATGCTTTTACTCTTGTCAGAGGGTGGTAGTGATGTCCGTGTTGGTTTTGTAGGTTTGATGGTCTTCATTTCCTGACCGGGGCTTGTGTTAATACGTCTGGGTTGACGTCTGTTCTTCCTGCGTTTGATCAGGATGGTGTAGATGATAATACAAGCCATTACTATGATTAACGCGATGACCACTATCATATTATTGCTTAGACCCAGAGGGTTACCTGCTTCTTTCACTTCGGAAGCTTCTGTATCTTCAACGGAGTGGATTTTATCTTCTTCGTTGATGATTATAGGAACAACACCATCGGAACGACCTTGTTCGGATTTATGAACAACTACATTGGTCATTGGTGTCTCTGTTGTTGATGTAGAACTGTATTCTTCATCATCTTCATCTTCATCAGAGAATATATCATTGACTGCTTTTTTGATTTCGTCAAAAATGCTGGGATCTGGTTCAGTGCTATTGGTGGGATCATCCAAGGTCAAAGGTGTGGAACAATCGAAGTTGCAAGCCTTCAAAGGAGTTTCTTCAGTTGTTGGGAAGATTAAGACACCTGTTCCTGATCCTTCTTCTTCATTCTCTTCAGGTTCATCTCCAGAATGACCTGAACCCTCGGTATCATCAGTTTCTGCCTCGTCTCCATTATCAATATAATCTTCATCTGTTAACTCAGGTGCTGGTGAAGATGCAGTTAGTAATAATTCTTCATTTTGCATTTCTGCTAATTTTTTAGAAGAACCTTCGTCATCTTCAGCAAAAACATCTGTTTGATCCTCTTCGGAAGTTTCCTCAGGAGTTGGTTCAGGTTCCTCACCGGATCCTTCAATTTGTTCGTCGTTTTGCATCTTTTCAAGGTCATTATGTTGATTGTGGTCAACATGTCTAACTATGGGACATTTCAAATTGGTCACTTCTTGAATATTTCCAGAACCATCACGACAAGTCACTGGTTTCTCAATTGTAACCCAAGTTTTAAGATCCTCACATTTGGCTTTCAATTCACAGGAACAAATAAACGGATTACCCGCTAGGTTAATTTTTCTTAACCTCAATTTTTTCCCATTTACGAAATCAGGAAAGTCTGCGAAATGATTTGAAGACACATCCAAGTGTTCTAAATTTTTGGGGAGGTTATTGACATCCAATGACTTGAGTTTGTTTCCTCGGAGATTCAACATCGAGAGTTTACTTAGACTTGAAAGATCGACAAGATGGCGGATGTCGTTGTGCGCCATGTTGACACTTTTAAGACCATGCAGTTTACGAATCGCGCCGATTTTTGTTAGATTTGAATGACGCAGGTCAAGGTGAGACACTTTGTTGAGCGTTTCCGATGAGCCATCTTGGACAAACGCGAGTGATGTGCAGCGTGTGGTTGTTACCAAATCCACTGTTAGGCATTCACAATCGGATGGGCACGGTGATTGTTCATGGGGCGGAAAAGGTGCGCCCCGGGCGGCGCACACAAGTGCTAGGAACCACACGAGGTGCATTTTGTCAACACCTGAAACAAATCAATTAAATTTTTATTTTTATCATAACTTTTATAATATAATTAATACAGCAAAATGATTTAAGTAAAAGATGTTCATAATTAAATTATCTTTCAGGTAATTGTTATTAAAATAGTTTAATTTATTTATTTGATCAAATATTTTGACTTAAAGTGCATAAGTAAATATTTTGACGATGAATTTAATTTAAGCGCAGTTACTAAACCTACGATAACTGCTCAACAATTAGTCTGACACTAAAATATTACTTAGATAAATTATTCTCAGGAACATTATCTATAACTTATCTTTATAACTTATTTTTGTAAGTTGCCTAACTTTCTAGATATTTGATGTAGTACCGCCGATATTGAAAGTACAACCTACTTAAGAGCGCTTTATCGTTTGATTTCTCTTATTAATTGCCAGATGATGCTATAACAATTAAGCTAACCAAAAACCATTTTAGTGTATAATATACCTAATTAATCCACGTTTTCAATAGTGATCTACCTTAATATTTCTTAGAAATATTTAATTTTAAAGAAAGTTTTCAATTTTTTTCTCATAAAAATTTTTAAATAAATGTATTATACAATAAAATAAATTAATGTGTTCTTAATTAAATTGTCAACAATTTATTTTAATGACTTTATTTACTCCATGGTAAAATTTATGTCAAAATAGTAAATTTACCAAAATAATTATTTTAATTTACAAATAGTTGCATGTTTTTATTGTAACTGACCCACAAGGTTAGTACGAGTAAGACAATTTAGCGTCTCATAATATTCGTGCAAAGTGATAAGGAAACTCGCGATTCGCGAATAATTTCGTGCCGAAATTTCGTGCGCGGCCCGCGCGAGGCCGAGCGCCATTAAGACGCGCGTGTGGACGCGCCCGGAAGTCCTGCATTACGAGCTTCCCGATTCGGCGAGCGCGACAACAATTGTTATCATCGTTAATTCGCGATCTGCGTTCGCGATCCGCGGCCCGTCGACGGGCGAAACAAACGATTACTCTGATTGTTATTGCCATCATCAGCATCGTTGGAGGTATGTCTATCATCGAATTGTTTTAAACTTTGCAAGCGAGGCGCAATACCTTAAAATAAACAATTGCAAATTGCCTGTGAACAATCTAAAGATCATTTGTTATCAATCAAAACCATATAAAGTCAAATGTTTTTGTCTTGTTAAAAATTAAATTTTTTTTTCGATTTAATTTGACTTGTGAGGTGCATTTTGTTTGTTTATTGTTGAATAATTATTAAACTATTAATTTGCCGTAAAAATTATTTAAGTATAAGTTGTTAAGGATTAAATTATCTATAAAATGATGTATTGTTGAGTAATGTATAATTATTGAGTCGTAAAATATCTTAATGCAAAGTTTATGTTCTGTTTTAGATTTTTAAACAACAAGCTTTTCACTTTACTAAAATTGCAATAACAACCAAACCACTCAATGCAAAACAAAAATTCAAAAATAAAATTAAAATTCATTAAACTCTGTATAAATTATTTCAATAAATCTTTTTTCTATCTATCATATTTTTAAAGTTATCTTATAAACAAATTTCACCACGCAAAAAAAATCATTTTTATTAAAATAAAGAAAACTAGTGCATAAATTGTATAAACACTAAAAATATTAGCGTTATCTACGCATAATTGAACTACTAAAGCATTACTTTTTATCAAAAGTCAATAACTACAACGTGGATGGTCGAAAATAAATATTTATCACTATTTTATCAACTGACAGATGACCTGATTCCAATTCTAGCTCAACTTAAGTCATAAACCAACTTGACTTAGAACTTAGAACATAACACTGCGCACTTTTTGTGTAGATTAAGTAAAGCACTCGACTAGTGACTTAAGCCATGCGTTGGTTGACGTTTTACGAGCGTCCGGGTCGGCGGCGAGTAATGCACGCGCGAAATTTGTGTCAATGCTACGCGGAGAAGAGACGGGGAGTAACAAATATAACAACACCAGCAACAACAACAGAAGAGTAGCATGCAAACATCATCAGCACCGGTTGCGATGTGTGGCGAATCGCCTTGAACCGATGCGATTGCAACCGCCAACGAGTTAAGTCACTAGTTGAGGCAAGTATGTCGTAAGACACTTGGCAATTCATTTTATCACAGCTCATGAGAGTTATCATGGCATGGGTGCGCTGAGAGACTTTCTAGAATATAAAGATCGTTGTCGAGTGCGACCGGCGAGATAAAATTTATTTGCTCAGCGTTTATGTGGGTTCTAATAAATGATAAGAGAAAATATTAATTCAATGCGCTGCATTCGAGTTGAGTCCTTGAGAAATTTTAACGCGAGATAAATTCAGCCAGCTAGATATTTTTGCATTCAGGGGGAAATTAAGTCACTTAAAAGCAGATTTAAGTTGACTTAATGTAAGCATATCGTGAATGATATTTAGATTTGCATAGAAATTGCTAATTATTAGAGATTTTGTTATTTTTGTCCTAATTTGACACAAAAAGCAAAAAATTATTTTGAAAACTAATTTTTAATGTCAATTATAAGGAAAACCGTTAATTTTACAATAATATTTTTTTAAACAAAATTTTTAGAATTTATCTGGGAACAATTTATTTTAGTAATATTTTTTTGTAGAACAATTAGTTTTATCTCTATCTTAATTTAAGATTATATTGAAGCAATTGAAAAAAATTGTATGAAATCAACTTTAAACTTCGAAGCCTTGTATCTTATGAATGAATTATCGTAAAGTACTTTGTAATACGTCATTTTATAGATAATTTAATTTACTACAACTTTTATTTAAACTATTTTATTGTAAAAATTATATTTCATAACTTTTTTTGTTAATTTATAAAATAATTCAAAACTTAAAAAAGAACAATTTTATTACATAAAGTTTAATTAGTGTTAAATTTAATATAAATAATTGTTAATAAAAATTTTATGTATTTTTTGTATAAATAATTTAATTGTTAATAATATCCACTTTATTTGAACTTTCTACCATTCCTCGTTTTCTCACAAAACGCAAAAAATTAAAAAACAACAAAATTCTTACCTTCAAAAATATGTGTGACTAAACTTAAGGCACTTCAAAATCAATATTTAAATCTATATAATATTGAGTAAGTCTCTAAACTGATAAGTCACTTTGAGACAACTTTAAGTCACTTTACTTAAGTCAAACTTTCGCAAACTTTTACAGCGCACTAATTCAGGATATAATATACTCGCACTTATGCCTCTAACTTGACTTAAGTCAGTTCTGCGTGTGCGTATGCAGTTTAAGTCACTTTTAAGTCACTTTCGGCAACTTTTTATAATCCATGCTCGGTGATTCGCGATCGCGATTTCGACTTTTCTACTGCGGCGGCCGTGCGCGACTGAATCGCGGTCCGAGTTGAGTCGGAATGGAGTGCGCAGTGCTGAGTACTCGTACGTCAATGAAGGTGCAACCTGGTTGTGTGACGCTCAGAGACATACGTACGCCGCGCACACGGCAGCCACGATTCCACGAGAGACATTTAGCGGCCGCGAAAGAGCCGGCATTGGCTGCGGACGCTCGTATGATTCATTCGCTTTCGATGCCGCGATCCTCCGAAGCGGAACGGGCCACCGGTAGTCCCGAAAACGCCGAAAATCGACGCACAATGAGTGCAGTTAGCGTGCGTGTGGAACGCTTGCGCAACGGAATGAGTTGTGTATGTCTACCGGCATTGTTTTGATCATTCGAATGGAAAATTTCGAATTTTGGAGAAATTTCGTGTGACCACGACGTTTGGAAAGTAAGAGGTGATTATGGGTAATTACATTTTCTTTTAGTGTTTTAATTTTGCTATTTTGAGGAAATTTCAAACGTATGTTAATTGTTAAAATGTTAATTTTAATAAAATACAAAGAAGTTCATTTGTAATTTTGAGTAAATTTTAAAAGTGAAAGTTTTTTCAAATTTTTGGTCTTGAGTGACTAAAGTACTTTAGTCACGGGCTTTAGTCACGGGGTGCAGTTTGCGCATGCGCATTTGTCTACAGTGCAGCACCATATGAAATATCTTGTGCTGTCCGTCAAACAAGTCAAAATGTGTTTTTATTCAAATTTTAATAAAATTTCAACAAAAAAATATTTTTAATATAATTTCATGTTATAGCACCGAGACTATATAATTTTCAGCCGGCTAGACATCGTTTACGTTTGCACAATTACCAAAAGTGTCATTAACAAGTGGCCGGTCCCTGCATTCGCATTATTTTTACGTTTGGCGGCCGGCCCAGGCTGATGGCAAGGTGAAACCGGCACCGGCGAGACGGACGCCGAAAATCTAATTCCGAAATCCGCAATACAAACGATTAACCTTACGTAATACAGCTGCTTTGCGCAAAGCAAAACGCGTGCAGGAATAAATAAATCACTTCAAACGTATTTCTTTTCACGCACTGTATATAATATAACTAGTCGTATGTAAATAGTTTTGTTAGTATTTGTGTGTGCCTGAAACATTCAATGAGTACGACCTTAGGGCGCTCGGATATTTATAGACACTGCGAAACGACATAGGAGTAAGTGTGAACAGTCGATTAAAATATTCATGATGTTTTTTTTTGTTTGGTTAGAGAAAGAAATTGATTTGATAAATTTTGGTAAGTTTAAACTAAAAAAGTTAAAATATGTTATCAATTAATAATTTTTTAAATATTTTAATTAGTAATTATTTGTAATTTATTGTTTTAATGTTTTAAATAAATTATTTGAGTACAAATATTTTGTATGTTGTAATTTTTATTAATAAAATGTATCAAAACATTTAAAAAACTCATTTATTTGGCTTCCCTTATTTAACACCCTGTATGTCATAATTTTTGGTATTTTAAGAATTATTCTTTTATTCTAAACAAAGACAAATCCAAAAAATCATAGATCATCAAAATCTGTCGATCCGTTCTTGAGTTATAAGTGATGTAACTAACACTTTCTTCTTTTTATTAAATTTACTTCAAATTTTAAGACTTAATGAAGTATATAGTGATTGTGCATATAGAGATTGCAGTTATTAACCTTTATATTCAATTAAATTGATTAAAATTTTAATTCATTTAATTTTACAGCTTACGAAATTCTTTTAAACAAATTACATAAAAAAGTTATAAATAAAAACTCAAAAAAAATTATTCACTCTTAACACATTTAAACCAGTTTAATATGGGTTAAAGCTATAAATAGAATTACAACTAAGTAAGCATTCATAAAAACTGCGCTTAATAAATGTACGCGCTCATTTACGCAATCAATTAATCACTTTCTCGTGCGTTTCTTAGTCGTAGAGCGCCACTTTTAATCTCGATGAGTAATGGTGTAGTAGTAATAATAAAATGAGCTAAGGTTGAATCTTTGATGTGCCCGTTGAACGATGATCCCGTAAACTGAATAAACTTATCATCACGACCACTGCATGGTTAATCCTAATCCTAATCAATATAATAATCATAAGTATAGACAATGAACGAACGCACAAAGTTTAATATCAATGATGCGTGTGTTTTTTGCATGGCGTGCATGATGATTGCACAAATATACAATCATGTTCGAGTAGTATAAACTGTGACCTTTGTCATGGTTCATTAACGCTTATTTTTACTGATTATCATTATTCATTGACACAATGGGAATTATGATGATGTGTTGTGTTTGTTTTTTGTATTTTTTTGTTTAAAAAATTATTGCTCTTAGAATAATTAAGATGGGAATATAAAATTTATGTCATTGGTAGTGTATTAAATTCTGCATCATCTAGTTTAAAGCATTTTATGGTAAATTTATTTTTTAACCTATAAAATTGGTTTTAAAACTTGTAAAACTGAATTTTTGTTAAAGTTGTTTTGTAATAGTTTAGAAAAATAAATAGAACTCCAAGAATATTGCAAATAAAAACTAAACGAAACATTTTTTATAAAGATTATTAAATTGTTTACAACTTTTACTTAAATAATTTCTTTGTATCTCCAATACTTAACCTATAAATTTAATTTTTTCTTAAAACTTTTCTTTACATATTACCTAACCTCAAAAACAAGCTTTTAGAATAAATTTTAATCAACTTTTCTCTCACATATTACACAATCTCTTAATTAATAAGTTTATTAAAGTTAAATTAAACACACAGCAATTATGCATCAGTAATTAAATAATAACTGATAATATTTCACTTAGCATTCGCTGATTCAACAATATCCCAACGATAAGTCATAAAACTTGGTGTGATATTTCTAATGATTCTCCGTTTTGAATTAAATTACTCGCGACATCTCGATAGTAAGCAATTTTGTTTAATTTTATAATTTCGCGCTAACTTCTCGGCTCCGTATGATGATAAAAAATAACCACAGCGAGACGAACATTGCCCTTGTCCGCTCCGCGAAGCGATAAAATGTCGAAGGTCGATCAATTTCATACGGTTTCGATTCCATTTCAATACGAAATTATGTAGATATAAATTCAAAAAGCAAGTTTACGGTTGGATTTTATTTAAATCACACTGTCAGTCGTTTCGAATCAAGCTGTAGACTCAAAATAAAGGTCGATTAAACGGATTGAAATTTGGACTTTTTTATTAGTCAGAAAACCACTTGAAATGATTTCCGAGTGTGGAAAATTGTGAATTAATCGAAGTATCATACTTTGTTTGTTTGTGACGCGATAACTCAAAAACCACTGCACCAATTTTGATAAATTTTGGTATGGAGATAGTTTTGACCTAGGATAATAAAATAGGATACTTTTTCTCTTTACAATATAACCCAGAAAGGGTAAAATCGAGATAAAAGTTGAGATAACGCTTTTAAATTGCCTAAAGTGTTAAAACCATGTAAATTTTGACAAAAATAAATTTTATTAGTCAGAAAACCACTTAAAATGATTTCCGAGTGTGGAAAATCATGAATTAATCGAAGTATCATACTTTGTTAGTTTGTTACGCAATAACTCAAAAACTACTGCACCAATATTGATAAATTTTGGTATAGAGATAGTTTTGACCTAGGATAATAAAATAGGATACTTTTTGTTTTTAAAATTTAACTCAAAAGGTGTAAAAACGTGTAAAAAGTTGAGATAATGTTTTTAAAGTGCCTAAAGTGTTATAACCCAGTAAATTTTGACAAAAATAAACGTTTTATTTCTAAATTTTGTATTTTAACCTTGAATATTTGATTTTAATACCTGAATGCAATTTTAAACTAATAATATAAATAAAACAAACATAAACAATAATTGCTTTACGATTTTTTCCAATAATTTTTAACAAATCACAATAATTAAGTATAGAATTTGTTTCTAGATGCTTGAAACAAGTTTCGCCCGACTTTAAAATATTAGTACACTTACTGAAATAGTTTTTACCTGGCTAAAAAGTGCTAGTCATAAGTCATGATATTATGCACGCTCGGCGCGTTTAATTGAGCGGTTTTCTTTTCCTCTCATTACTCACTGCCTGCTATGTAGGTACGTACTAACTAACTTTTAACCTGTTCTTATGATGTTACGCCTCGCGACTAATTATTTGCGTTAAGCGCGTAAAAAGCGATAAAAACGATGAAATGCGACTAACGACGACGAAATTCGTAAATTGTTTATTTTTTCTCTCTGTTGCAACATAGCGTACTGGTGTAGAAGTCATGCCACGCTATTTGCTACTCTTAATTTCTTACAATTCATGCCGCGCTATTTCACTACTCAAACTTCACTTAATATATAGTCCAGGTGGCATAGAAAGATTGTAAAAAGATCACAGAAATGAGAAATGCATATAATGCGTTTTAACGCCATCTGGGGTTGAATTATATAACTTAAATCTCTTTACCAACTTTTATTCCTGATTTTTCACCTTGTAAGTAATATTTTTTCAACAAAAAGCAGTCTAATTGCTTTTTCTTAGCCATAAATATCATCATACTAAAATTTATCAAAATTACTTAAATGGTTTTTGTTTAAAAGCGTCACAAACAAACAAAAAAACCATCATTCGCATTTATAACCTCATACATACATTAATTCTACCTTTTCTTCTCAGATGGCGCTGTTATACACAACTCCTTTAATACACTAATCACCCTACAGCAAAAGCACTATATATTTCCCTAAATTTTCCCGTGTGTAGCGTGAGGAGTACAACTCTGAGGTTAAACGTTAAAAACACTTGTGTATGAGTTTCGTTTCATCGTAAAATCGCGTGTTAACTTTATAAAAGTGTAGACTTCGGTGCCTGTGGAGAATTTAATTGATTCGGACGCGTTTTACGTGCACGTAACGCACGCAACATTCCCAAGGACGTTCATTTGCGTTCGACACACATTAAAATACACAGAAATATAAACACAAGTACAAAAAAAAATAACACTAACCACAACTAATAAGCGACTGAATGGAAAACAAAAAGAGATAAACATTTTTGCACTTTAGAAAATTGACAGTTTAAGGCCTTTCAATCATTTCACGGTTTAATAGATTTAGACACTTTAATTAACACACGTTAAAAACGATTATTTCCAGGAAATAATTATAACACTAAAAAATTTCTAAAAATAAAATTTTACGAAAATAAAAAAAAAATTTAAAAAAAATAATAAAAAATAGAAATAAACTTAATCTCTGTAATCATTTTAATTAAATTTGTTGCTGTGTACCTAACACTTACTCTGCCACCAATTTATTCTTATCGTAAAACTGTGCAAACTTTAGTATAGCCATAAAAAAATATTGCAACATTCAACTTTAGACTTTAATCAACCGTGAAATACATTAAATTATTCAATGAGAAGAAAACCAATAAACACACTTACATGATGTTCGATTGATTCACAATCGTACTCTTATTTGTATGATGTAATTGTAATTATGCCTAATAGGCTTGTATTAATTAATTTAAGGAGTGCACCTCTTCGCCATCTTACATCCAAACACCAAACTACACATTACACATTCACAGTGTAACAAAATTTACTTTTGTTTATAATTAAAATTTTTGAAATATATTTATTTGCAGACGTGATGCATGGGTAATAATACACGACTAACGTGCGTCGAGTCGCAACGAGTCCTTTTATTATTCATCGGTATTATAATCAGCTTTAATTCGAGCGTGCTCGAGGTCAGGAACGCGAAGAAAACGCGAATAACTCGGCAGCAGTTGAATGAAAATCAATAATAGACGAGAATTGGGATTAATTTATGCGGGAGGACATCCTAGCGCCATCTACCATCAAAAAACTAAACAATTTTACAGATTTCGCAGAATTTAAAGCTTTTTAATAATCAAAACTTTCCAGTATTCATTGTAATACCTAGAATACTGTTAATTCTACTGAAACTCAGTTGATGTAACGTAGAGAAAAAAATCAATATTTATCTAGAAATTACCTGTGAAGGGATTACCAGGAAGTACAGGTACGTCAAAACACAAAGGAAACACCTTCAATAGAATTTTAAGTAGAAAGGTACACCATCTGTACGCACGTGGCAGAATTCAGAATTAAAACCTTTTCTACCTGAGCAGGTAAACTGACTTAAGTAGAGACCACCTGCACGATAGCGCTGATTGCGGTCCCACTAGTCCCACCCTCGATGGTACCATCTCTCTTCCTTTGTCTCTATCGCTCCCACGTGAAACCCAATACACACTCGACTTTGCTTTCCACATCCACATAGCATATACCAACCAAAATTCCGTGTGTCACAGTGCTGTGCTTATCTCATCGAGGTGAGGTGTATGCGACAAAGCATATCAACGTATTCGCGACTTATCTGAAGTTAGTGACTAGACCAGTGTCGTCCGAGTATCATTAAAGTGTTCTGTGAGCCAGTTTTAGGCTTAAAATCAAAAAGTAAGTTTTTGTGTCTCTGTGGTGCTGTGTGTGTGTCATGGCGACGATATTTCGTTTCTGCTACCTTCGTGACATGTACGCGACTTCGGTCACCAAGGTTAATAATGGCTGCGCGTAGTTCGCACCGTGTGCACAATGAGCGACGAGATTACACCCATATTGACACGAATGCGAGTGTGTGTGTGATATGTGCGCATCGTTTCATTTTCGACGAATCTCGAGTGTCTCAGAATTAAATCGGGAATTTTCCCGTCACGCGATTGACTTCCAAGCCTCATAACCTCGGAAATAACTGTTTTATTAGTAAAAAAATAAATGTACTCGATAGGGTATTAAACTAAGTATCAACTGGTGTTTGAATGATTGTTCTAGAAGGTTTCATTGAGGAGTTATCAATGTTTGAAGTAAATTATTCATTTTTTTGGTAGAAAGTTCCGTTATTTTGCTTCTAAAGAGACTTAAGCATCAAAAATTATTTAGAAACTGCTTAAAAGGCTTAAAAATATACTTTTCGAAATCATGTAGTAGGTAGAAATAATATTTATGTTGTCTAGACAGACAATTGATATTTTTAACTTTTTAAAGTTAAATATTGCTCAAGTAAACAATGCAATCAAAATAGGACATGCGCAGGTCGACAGAGGATTAAATTGCCTATCGAATGACACTTTTACCTGTACTCTAGATATCCTCATTGTGGCGCTATGGACGCGTGAAGTACCTACTTAAATTTATTGCGCAAACATTCCACGATAAACTAAAATAAATTTTGATGGATGTTTTTATTGTTACAGGTCATGAAATTGTGGGTTACCCTCACAATTCTGGGCTTTGCCTATGCGCAAAGCGCCAACATCGCAAACTGTCCTACATTCTGTGAATGCATTGTCTCTGGGGAGGCAACATGCACAACGCTGGACATCGAACCATTCCCCACGGCGGATATCGTCCGCCTTACCCTGAACTCACCCCAAGCTCCGTTGGACCTCAGTGGACCTACCTTTACTAATCTAAGGTTGACTAAACTACGGGAATTGACTATTACGAATGCCACAATTGGGAAGTTGGATGCTTCGTTATTCACTACTTTGAATTTAGATAAATTCGTGGTGAGACATTCGAAAATCCCGGTGATCAATAAACAACTATTGAAGGCATCACAATACATCAGATTAGTAGACCTCAGCTACAGCAACATTCAAATCTTTGAAGGGTTGGAATCAGGTATGCTTACATCATTGGTCTTGGCTGGTTGTAATTTTACCACACTTCCGGCTGGAAGTCTTAGTCCCAATGACCTACCTGCTTTGGAATACCTTAACCTGGAAAACAATCAGTTACAAGAGATCAAACTGGGTGACTTGGCAGGTGAAGAGATTTCCTTGGCGAATAACAAAATCTTTTCGTTGACTATCACAGCTGATGAAGATGTATTAAGGTTGACAACCCTGAAACTTGATAATAACCCATTGAAGTACATCGAAGCTGAAGATGAAGTTGATCTTGAGGCACTCTACGTTAATAACTGCCATCTTACAAATTTGAACTTCCTGCAATACTTTACTTCTTTGATAAAATTGGAAGCCAGGAATAATTTGATCTTCAGTATAGATTCAAAGATCCTCAACAGTTTGGATGCTTTGGAAGTGTTGGACCTTTCCGAAAATCTCTTCAAAGAATTACCTAAAGATTTTGGTCACATGATGGTCCTAACCTCTTTGGTTCTAGACAAAAATAACCTTAAAACCTTACCGAAGTTTATGTTCCAAGGTACCTTGGATAAATTCAGTTGTAATGAGTGTAACTTGACAGAATTACATCCGGAGACTTTCAATGCGATGTTAGCAACTAGAGTGATATCCTTAGCTAACAATAACCTGGCAACCATTCCGAAAGACCTCTTCAAACCTGTAAAAGCTTTGGTTAAAGTAGACCTATCCCATAATAAACTTACCAGCCTCCCAGTTGAGATCTTCCAACATAACCAAGGACTCAAATTTGTTGATATCAACTCAAATCCTTTGAAGGAAGTTGATCCCAGCATCTTCTCTAAAACTTCCATCAAAGAACTACACATGGATAATTGTGGTCTTACCAAACTCTGGACCCCCTCAGTCATTGTTAAAGAAGGTATTGTTCTGCTACCAAAATTGGAAGTGCTTACAGCCACCAATAACAACATCACTCAATTGACAACTGATGATTTGAAGATCGCCAAGATTGGACAGTTGAATATCATGAACAACCCTCTGATCTGCACTGATGCCAACATCAACTTCATCAACGCCATGTCCAAGCTAAGCTCCATCTTTTTACATTCCTCTGATTGTGATTGCGCCTACGATGACAGCAATGACTACACCGATCCAGAGGTCGAAGATGATGTCTCCAAAGAAATCGAAACCCTACCTGAAGAGAAACCCACCGAAAACAAACAAAAACCTAAAGAAATCATTGATTTAGACCCCGAGGATGATTCCATGGATGAATCCGATGAATACGATGACGATGAAACCATTGGCAACATGGATTCAGACGAGTCATTCCAAGAGGATATACCTAAGGAACAGAAACCTAAGACCAAGAAGCAGGAATACGATGAATTCCAACAGGATGTGGATGATGTCAGCGCTGTAGAATTCTACAACTTCCAGGCACGTCAAAGGTCCAGTAAACAGATGCTTTTCTTCGTGCTTCCGACTGTTGTCTTTATTCTGACAGCGATGGTTGTTTTACTACTGACTGTGACGGTGATTTTATGCGTGATGCAGAGGCGTAATGGCCGCCCGACCAATGCGCCGCAGATTACCATTCTGCCGTGGGGACATGGTCAGAAGATCAAGAAGCACAGTGGATCGATTTATCGTCCGCTCAGCGAGGAGAAACTTCCGGTTTAATAGTAATACGCATATTAATGAAAACATAACCATACAAAAATACAAAAACATACTAACACCTATCTTAATTTATGACATAACCTAAATTATGACGTAACTTAAACAATTTTCTTGATTTTGTGTTGTTTTGTGAGGTAAAACGGTCAAAAATATTACAAGACATAATTTTAATGGAATAATTAATCACTTATTTTGTTTTTTAATAATCCAGTAATGAATTTGTTGAAATTTATAGACCGTTATACTTTACTTAACTTGCAAATGAAAATTTTTAGTTTTTTTTTGTTTATTGAAAAGGGTATAATTTTTCTTTGAAAATATTTAACGCAATAACGTTTAAGTCTGTTCATACTGTGTTATTCATTTATATTCGTAGGCTTACTAAGTTAGCAACTAAAAAACACTTGAAGGCAAGATAACACGTGATAGTAAACAGCGATGATACTTAATAAAAGAAAACAAAGGAGTGTCGACGATGAAAGAAACCGTGAAAAACAAACGAGTACACATATTCCACGCATAACTTTATCTAAGTGTTGATAAAACTTTGATAACATGTAGCGCCATTGTCCATATTAGTAGTTAGTGTGAGTAATTTTAAGCGTTAATTACACAATATTATAAAAACACTAAAAACGAAACATTTTGTTTGCTTTATTTCTACACCTCTTGACTTTGTGAACTTTTTGATATATTGCTTACTTTACATTGCGAGATGTGTGATCAGACAATGTTTGGCTTCCTGTTTGGTTAACCTCAATGATATAAGATGATGATATAACCTCAAAACATTTTTTAAAAGTTTTTTAGTGCTTGTTATACGTTTTTATAGTTCAGATTGCTATTGAGGTATTTTTAGCATGCGATGCGAAATGTTTATTGTTTATGCAATTGAAAAATTGTCGCATGTGTCATCGTTTGTTGTCTCCTGGTAAGTAACTACAACAATGGCGACTGTAAGCGAATAAAAACGCGATTTGTTATCATTACAAACATTTGCACTGAGTTGAAAGTGTAAAATTGGTATTTTTGTGTGTTTAAGCTCCGCCTATGCCGACTATTGCGCTACCACGCATGCGCAATGTGTATTTCACATACATTTTATTGTTTTTTAATCTGATTAGGATTAAAATCTACTTGAGATTAATGAATTAATTAGTTTAAATTTAATCCCAGTGATGTCCTACGTGCTTGTGTTATCAATGATTTATTGTTTTTTATGCTTGTCACTATGCGTCTGAGGACGTGTCCAATCGTGGCTCGTGCACAAAGTACTATTTCTACATAGTGTACAAAGTTTATGTGAGTGTAATAGTGATTGATTAATTGTTAATTGCTAATTATATTGCGGCGGAACAGGTTTGCGATGAATCTGCACACGCAAACAAGTAATTAACAATTATCTTGATTCTGATATATTTTATAAATTAATTGAGTGTCTATTATATGTATTTTTGAATTGCTATTTTTATACTTTAATTATATATTAAATTTTGCAAGTAATTTGATTATTATATGCCAAATCTGTATGGTGTGACACTACTCGTTGAATACAATACAACTGAATTACGCAAATTGGAGTGATAATAATGCAAAACGCTAAACTAGGTTTGACATAGAAAACATCGTGTGCACAACACAAACTTATGAAATGTTATGAAAATTTTCCCGAATGTGATAACAATCGATACTGATAATATGCATTGATCTAGATTTAGAACTATCTAGTACATATAGATTATTTTGTTGATGATAATGCTTGTTGATTGAGATCGACTATTTGATAAATGCATTAAAAAACAGAAACGGGACTAAAGCTATTTTGTGGTTATGTTGTGTTTATAGTTGGTCTATTTGTGTGATCAAAAAGGATTTACTTATCAAGCAATTGACAAAAAATGGAAAATATTGAGGTGTGTTTTGAGTGCGTATTGTTCTACTTTTCGGTATTGTAAATTTAATTAAGTTTTAAGTTACTTGAAACATTTACTTAGGCAAATGGCGTTAAACGTCTTTTAGATGTATTAATACAAAATTATGTTACTATAGTTCAGTTATTAGGTTATGTTCTTAATTCTCCAGCATGTATGCGTCTATTTTGAATAGTTGATTACTAAATTTTCAGTTTATGAACTTTAAGTCACTTTATACTGGTTAAATTTTAATTATAATTATAATAATTATAAAACTTGTATTCTATACAAGTACCACTAATTAAAACAACATAAATTCTTATTTACTGCCTTTAAAATATGTCTACCTACAAACAAACATTTATTGGTTGTTTTCGTATTCATTTTTATTTTGTTTAAAAGTGTAATGAACGATTATTTACTTTCGTAAGCAATTGTGAAATATTTAACGCTGTTTGTTTGTATTCCAGTAAATTAACTACACGTGTGACTGATCCTGTGATAGTTTGTCTATGCTTGAATGAATTGTGCTGATAAGTTAATACGTGGGTGAAATACCTCAACAAGTTCTAGACGTCAGTCTGTGTTTCGTAAAAATGTGCAATATTGTTCAATACAAAGCGAACAGGTAGGTAAACATAGACGATTCGGTGCCGCCATTTTGCCGCAAGACGAAGTAGTGTTCTTCTTTGTTAATGGCGTAAGCATCACGTCGCTAAACGTTGTTAAAGTGCCATTTAGCGCCATTGATACTTAATATACTATAATGTCACACTTCGTTAAAGGTCCGAAGGGATTCCCTTCGTATACATTTACTATTTTTGTAAATTTAATAATATAATAGTAATAATTACTGTTGTTAGTAACAATACTGTTGGAAATTTATTCAAAGAACATCAATGAACGTATTGTATGCGAAAGATTCGAGATTAAATGCATATAAATCAGTTTAATATTCTATAATATTTATTTATTTCCGCGGAACGGTTAGCTAGAAACCTGAATGGCTTGTTTATTTGCCTGGCGGGGAATTGTCCTCGACAAAACTCTACCGCGGATAAAATTCAACAAATCATACAGGACGCGACATCTATGATTGAAATTATATACTAAAGATACACTTAAGTCACTTTGAGTTAAGTAAATAAGTGTTTCTTAAATCTTTTGAATTAATTATAACAAATATGACAAATTTTGAGCCAAGTATTACGTCAATAGAATTTTTAACTAAACATTAACACCGACAAACATCAAATTACCTTTAATTTGCTTTTAAAATAAAAAATAATAAACAATTAAAAGTTTTTCCATTGCGTGAATCCCAATTATCCTGAAACTGTTTCCCCAGTTAGAACATTTCAACCCTATGTTAATAAAACACGCGACTAATTTAAAATTCCTGCTACCAGCTCGATTTTAATTTGTTAGTGTTGCTCACTCCACACTGCTGGAATCGCTGGAAGGTCATCTCTCCTGCCGTCGCATGCGGTTCCGTGCGCTGCGTACACTCAGTTTAATGATTATTCATTCTCGTAATCGCAACACCGAACAAACCAGCTGATAAACGACGCAGACAGATAGCGCAACAATTTGTTAAACAAAATAGTGCTAAAAACAAAACACGCACGGACTTAAGTGCAGCAACGGAAACAAAAGAATGGATAGTGATCTCAGGACGGACGCCTGCCCAAGCCCACCTCGTGACGACCCGGACGCAATCCTGCGGGACAAACCTGGCAACAAAAAGACAGATAATACAGAGTACGAAAATATAGACGAGGGAAAAACCCACAACGTGCCGAAATTCCCATTCGCGGGGAAACACAAATCTAACTTTAGGAAAGCAACAAAAACAAGTAAGCAAGTTTACTTTTGTTCTAAGAATTACTTGGATCATATATATAACATAATCTCACCATTTTTCAGAATGTGATAAAGTCATTTACATTAACAACTCTGCGGATGTTCACATTGGACCATCAATGACTTACACAGTGAACGTCGGTAGTCCCCAACCGAAGGAAACACCAATCATATACCATCAAACACAAAAAATAAAAAGATTACTCGCGTCTACCGATGCAGTAAACCGGGAACATTTAATATTCCTCTCCGGTCACATTTCAGCAACAAGTTGGAAGTTTGTCGCGCGTAAACTAGGATTCTCCGATGGTCGTATTCAACACTTCTATGCTGATCATCACGCGACAGGTATGAAGGAAGTGATCTATCAGTGCCTTTTAGAATGGATCCAAAGCAAACCGGATGATGCAACCATCGGCAGGATAACCGATGTGTTGTGGAGCTGTGAGGAGCGCGAAGCTGTTGATTTATTCTCACATTTTATGTACTCCGACGAATAGCAAATGGCCGCTGAACGTGGATGCCATCTTGATTTTAGTCTCTACCTCTAAACTCAATATTTATTCAAATATTATCGATAACAAATGACTAAAATCATAAATCTTAAGTTACGGTTAAAACGTATGTTATGGGTGTTTGCTTGACCTACCATTTTGTTATCACAAGTGATTAATGTAAGTGTTTGACCATCGTTTACAAAGTTACACACTATGAGGGGGATGGATGAAGCGATGAACAACAAATAGAAATGTACTCGTATGAATATAATTATATGCAGTTATGTCGTGTTGATTTTTATTGTAGTGCGGCTTCAGGAGTTCCCGTTGGAAATCTTCAGCGTTTGGCCGGGTGGCTTCAGCAGATCACAGAATTGTAGCAGCGCCTCGCGCAGCGGCCGGGATACCTGCGTGGATGACGTCGTTGTACATTCCACCAGGTACGGATAAAGGGATATCAATTGTTCCCAAGCTGCGCTATCTTCTACAGTAACATAATTTATTATCATCCCACAATGAAGAATTATAACCTTACCTAAAGTTTGCGTCGACTTCTTCATCGATATGATGACGGTCGTGATCGCTTTCAGTACGAACGAAATCTCGGACAGTCTATATCTGCAAGCATACAAACATAACCAAAAAATATCAAGTAACACAACATAACCATAAAAATCACTTGGCTTTTCAAGTTGCACTGGTTGCGGATGATCAGTTGAAGAAATTACCTTGGTAGCGGACATTTTCCACTGGTCTTCTCATCGTCAATGTATTTCTTCAACACCTCTTGGAATCTATGCAGGAGAGCAGTTACTGCAAGCCGTCCTGCTAAACCTCCTTCATCTTGGTTAAAGATCTGAGGATGTACTTCACCATCAACCAATGAGAACTGCAGAAGTGTCTCGAAACACGTCTTTGCGAATTCCTCACGCAATGTGAGTTCTGTTTCAGAATCCATATTGCTATTGGTCGCCGAATGGATAGAACCACGGTTTAATAGGACTACTACTTTAAGGATAAACTCCTTGGGAATGCAATTGGAAAAGGGTAGGACTTGTGTACGTAGAATTTCGATGAGTTGACAATCCGTTGCCTCATCAGACACGATTTCATCTAGACCTCTATCGGGAGGCATACAACTAAAATACAGGAGTTAATATTTAAGGTTAGGTAAAATTTTAAGTCGATTTACTTACGTTTTTGGGAATAAGTACTCGTTTAACGTGAGTGCAAGTTGATCCCACATCTCATTATTGTTCGCATTCTTCAACATCCTAACAACTGGTAACCCTACCTTGAGAATGACAATGAAGCTATTTGCCGCTAACTTCCATGTACTGTTCGAAGGACACGCGTATTTCAACGATAGCGGAAGATGCAACGCTCTAATGATTTCAGTCAATACTTCATTCTCGATAACTTCGTCATTATCAGCAGTTGCTTCGTATAGGTTGACAACTGTTGATAACGCCTTCTCTCCGAAAGGAATATAATTCACCGTGAACCATTCCACCGCAACTCGTTCGTTTTTCATCTGCGTGGGTGGATTACAACTGAACTTACTGAATGTAAGCAATTGTTTAAATATCCCGGGCAACATGCGGTTTTGTTTTCGACCAATTGCTTCCTTTTGCACTAATTCAATAGCATTCAACGCTCCATCATGAAGATTAAGTTCGTTGGTTTGCACTAGGATGTATTGACTGGTCTCGCCAAATATTGGCACGCTCACAGCATTGGTTAAAACAGCGCATAGGCTATCCAAGTCTTGCACGGTGAATTCATATTTGACATGTTGGAAAACATGCGGAAAGATTTGAACTAACGCTGTGAGGAATCCTTGACTTGGAAGGTAAAGGTCTTCGGTGTTACCTTCAAGAGTACCTTCAATTAAAGGTACGGTTATTTCCGTGCCGATTTTCACCCAGACTTTCCAAGCATTCGTCCATATTTCTTTCTCTTCTACATTTGTAGTCAGATTATCATTTTCTTGTGCTTTTGAGTAGAGAATCTCTTGAAAAGACTTCAATGCCGCAATGGACACCTCGTTGTTCTTCGCAAGCGCTGATATTTCTATGAAGTTTAATAATACAGACCATGCTCGTGGGAAATCGCCCAATGCTTGAAGCAGTTGACGTTTTGTGTTGAATACTCTTGCAACTCCAGATAGTGTTAGCACTTGGGTTTCAGCCCATTGTTTCTGTGCAGTGTTACGGGTATGATGGATGAGGATGTTGACACCTGTGTCGACTTTTTCAGTGCTTGCCGATTGTGAATGATAGTGTACCCTGTCAAGTAATGGGAAGAGGACTTGCCAGATGACGGCTTGCCAGGTGGATTGTTTTAGGAGAGCACCGTGGGCGGAAATAGTGGAGAAAAGGGTTTGGCTAGCTGATTTGCGCACGGCAGGGCGACAATCTACGCAGAGGTCGCCCAGGCGCGTGTAGAGACACATCCAGAGTTTATCACAATTGGGCATGTTGACTATACCAGGGAACTCTGGGAATACATTGGCGTCTTCACTCAGAATCACGCTGAGTTTCGGTTGGTATTGGTGAAAATAGTCGGAGATGTTCCACTGTATTACAAATATTTATCATTTTTCTTTCTATGGAAGAAATCACAAAACTTACCATTAATCCGACAGCTGTCAAGGAAATATTCAACTCTTGTGTTTGTGAACCAAACTTTGCCACGGTATCCACACAAAGTGGAAGACATCTCCATGGCATCACTGGCAGAAAGTCAGTGATGACCAATTGAAGACATTGAAACGCTAAACGAATCAATGTTTCCCTAATCACATAATTAAAAACAATAATAAACAATCTATAATAAGTTTTCCAAGAGTCTTACCCATGATGTTCACTAACAGCTCCAATTATGCCAATCACAAGCGGCCATCCATGTTTCAACGTCTCCCCAGACCCATGAAGAATCTCCAACACGCAATCCAGCTGCCTGGACCGCACATCACCATGCGGTACAGAAGACAACTCACTTAATGGTCCCAATAGTAAAGTTTGCAACTTTTGGTTCTCTTTCAACGGCACTTCATGCTTATACAACAATGCCGCCTTAACCAGATAAGTTATCGCCTCAACACCCCATTCTCTCATACGCATATGAGGATGTCTACAGACTTCAAGCAAATGATTCGTCAATGGTCTCCACAACACCTCAATTCTACTCATGTTAACAATCCCCGTTTCAAGTAGTTTAGCCACAGCAAATAAAGATGGCTCCCGATTATTATAAGCCAACTCCATCGCCTCTTGTGAGAGTTTACACAACGCGTTTATCAAATGATGCAGGGCTACATCATCCAAATACTGACTGGATTCAAACAATCGACTTAACATAGTCGACAACACAGGCAAATCCGCCATTACAGATGTGGTAATGATTGAATTATTATCATTCACACGACCTGCTTTGAGACTACCACCAGTTGATGGCTTCAACCCCAAAATCCAGACTAAATGTTGCAGCGTAGTCAAAACAAGATGCCATGATGAACCCAATATACTCCCATGACAATGCGCTAGCGATAACAAAGTCCGCATACTCTGTAAATTCTTAGCTGTCAACATAACCGGTCCCTGTGGAGTACCAGCCGGTACAGATGATGTTGGTAACGGTGTACCAACAGCTACAATTTGTTGCTGTTGGCGATAGTCTTCGTTCTGACCCTGACACGACACACTGTCAATAGCAGTCGTTCGTAGAGATCCACCAGGTGTGACAGCGTTCAACACAGTAAGTGCATAATGTGGCGGTAGAGATGACTTACAAATGGCGGTGATGAAAGCATCACGTGGTGTGTGCAGTTCAAGAGATCCGCAAAGAGCAGCAAATGTTTGCATGCTTTTGAGGATGCGTTCAGTGACGCCTTCGTCTGTACTAGCCTCCATTAGAGGACTAAGCGCGGCGAGTAGACCACACCAACTGGATTTTATCAGCTGGCAATGGAGGTCTTTGTTTGCGGGGGTGGTAATTGATTTCTGGGGTAGATCTTCAGGGGCTACACCATCAGGTGGGTCTTCGGGATGTGTGGGACCGATGCTTATTTGTAGTGAGCGGATTATCTCTAAGAGGCAGGCATATGCCACGGAGATACCGTAACCGTCAGGGATTAGTGGTGGTTCAGTCTTGTCTAACATTTCCAAACTGGAAAAATGTGAATAGAATTAGAAATTGAGTAAAAAGTTGATTTTCAGTTGAGTAAACAACTAAATAAGTGTTTAAAACATCATAAAATGAGAAAGATTTAAGTTATAACTATAAATTCAGTGAAAAAGTAAATATTGTTGTATTATTGAGGTTAAAATTGCATTCTCTTCAAAAAAATCGTAGAAATTCACTTAATGCTTCAAGATTTTAACGATTTTGGCACCTAGTTATCTCAATTCAATACAACTACTTTATGACTTAATTAAATTAACTACACCGTGATATTCTCCCACATTATTAAAAGTTATCAGTCCATAAAATGAAACAAACATGACTACAATCATTATAATGACAAATAACAAGTTAATACTTAAAGTTTTACTTACTATGTGCTTTTAGCTTGCCCAGTTGGAAACACTGCATATAATGGCAACCAAATCCCTCGAGAAATAAACCCAGCCTGTGAAGCACTCGGCGGTGTATTCGAAGCACCGTAGGGTTGATTTACTCCCGCACCAATTGCAACTATAAATAAATACACAATCAATCTACTATAATTCAAAAATAACTTCAAACAACTTACTTCCAACTTGTAACTGTTGATTAACAAACAAAGATTGCACATACGCGCCCATAGAATTAACAATATCCTTGAAAATACTCGTCGTATGCGTCTTCAAGTCGTAAAACTCACAAAACGAATTCAACAACGCCGGTTGAATGGTCATCTTATGCAGCACTTCCAAAGCCAGTGCACGCTGCCAGCTAGGTTTGTCAGGATCCAAGAACTTCACAATCAACGACAGAAAAATCTCACATTCAGTTATCAACAGCACGTGGTATTTTTGAATTAAAATTGATACAACACGCAACAGTCGCATGCTGATCGGAAAATACGGTTTATCAAAAGGAGTCGCTTGTTGCACGCTGGCGGGGATCGTGCTGCGATATTTAATGTTCGGAGAGAAGAGTTTTATTACCAACGCACAGACACGTTCTTTTAGAAGAAAGCTAAACTCAGCGTTTTTGTAGAAAACATCCGAAAACTGTGTTAAAACTGATTCCAATAGTTCAAGTCCGAACGTGCGCGTCATTTCAGTCATTCCTTGCAACCAATAAGGTTGATCTGCGTTAACAAGTTGAACTAAATCTTGAAATAAAAGAAAAGCATCTCCTGCGCATGGTGGTAGACCTTTTGGGGGGCTACTACTTGGAACTTTAAGTTCTTCAAAGTTTACTTGTCGTGGTTGAGGTGGGACTTGCGATTGCAATTCGTTTTCTAGTTTTTCATCTTCAGCTACAACTCGTTCGAAAACCAGCGAGACTAGTTGGCGGACTGTTGCACCTGCAGTGTTGACGATTGTGTGATTTTTGGAGAAGTGGAGACGAAAACACAGTACTAAAGTCTAAAAATTCAAATAAATCATGAATATTTTTAAACATAAGTATAATAAGTTGCATACCTTTGCCAATGTGTCGCCATGGACGACAGCATTTGTTGTCAACAATAATGTTACTGATTGAAGAATTTTCACCTCTTCAATACCAGCTTCCATTAAATGCCATAAAGCATCTGTTATAAAACGAGCTCCTTTCGCATCCAACACTTGTTGTGTTATTAATCTTTGCATAATTTGCAAACAACACTAAAACATTACATTTGCAGTAGAAATAAACAAGAAGAAACAATTTAATTAATTTAATCTCATAGAGTAATCATTTATCCATGTAATCAAACAAAGTTTTCATCATAAACAACTTAATATAAATAGTTACAGAACAATTACTATCATGTTTCATTAAGACAATAAAAAGTTGACATTAATTGCTTGTAACTTATTCAGCAATAATTAAGATTTAATTTTATTGACTGACAAAAACAACTATAACTATAAATTTAAACATTATATAACTTACTTTTATAATTTTCATATCCTTCGTTTCACATCCTTGTGCCAAAGGAAAAATAATCTGATTAATGACATAATAAATCTGTGTTGGTGGTGTTGATTGACTATTTCTCAACTTTAAAATAGCCTCTTCACATGACTAAAACAAAATCACCAAATTTAGTACATAAAATAATATAATATTAATTTTAATTTGTTTTTAATACTTACTTCTTTAATATGTGGATACTTTTTCTTCGTTTCTGATGACAATGACTTCAAATCATTCTGTAGCACTATCAGTAGCTCCCTACCGTCGAAAGCCATCACCACGACCTCGGGGGCGTAACAAGCCGCCCCTTTATTGTTATTTCACACGTTTTAAACAACTCCAATTGTTGTTAATTGTTGATGAGCTGGCAAGTGATGTGCCGCCCGGTTTTCCGCAGGTTATGCTACCAAAAGTGCGCTGTTTGTAAGGCGGGGGCGGCTTACATCACTGGCATGCCAACCGCACACACAACACAAAGCCGGAAAACTCGTGGAATGATAGAATTATCTTCGACAGCGGCTTGAACATCGCGAAATTTACCAAACACACCTACTCACTGACGTACCGATGCGCAATCATCTGAGCGGGTGACAGGTGACAGCAGTCATGTGGGATTAAAATTATTTAAATGTTTTAAACAATAAAATACAGTAGATAATTATAATAATTTACTTGAATAACATTTATATTACTAATATAAAGGCTTACGTAAGAAGATTTGTTGCTTTAATGCAATATTTTGAGGTAAAAATCATAAAAATATAGTTTGTATGTTGTGTTGCCTATGTTAAAACAGAATAAAATAATATATAATAAGTATAAACCGAGTGCAGCGAAAATATTCATAACTTTTTTTAAAAATCATAACTGTTGTACAACATATAATTTTCGCATGAAATTAGCGCTAAACAATGACAATTAATAACCTACATTGCAACAACACGTAAAATATGTTATGTCTTAATGATGTACAACAAAAACTCGTAAAAACCTTATTAAAACCACAGACAATAATAGAATCAACGTGGAATTAATGTCCAGTAATTTATGAAACTGCTCAGGAGAATACATCGCGAAAGTCACGTTTAGCTGTTCGTTTACAATTACAAACGATTTTTACATTTCGGTTTTATTTTGTTTATAATTTAACCTTTCACTTTCTCACCGGGCGTTTGCGGCTTTCATGCGCATCGCCCGCATGTCACCATCTTTAATCAGCATAATTAACGATTATGTCGCATAAACTTTATTATATACAGACGTTTATATGTTTACATAATTTATATAAAATGTATATACAAGAAAATAATGTGTGTAGAACAAGGCATTAAAATTACAAACATTAAAATGAGCGTTAAATTGTTGGTTAAGTGTTGAAAGCAACAAAAATAATTTAACTCGTAATCTTTGGTTATGTTGCTCTGTAAGTTTTTGTTCGGCAACCCAAGATGACTAAATGGCATAGTGTTTCAATCCGATTGAGGTTAAGGCGCTGACTCCACGCGCAAAACTATCACTACTCGTTATCTGCTTTTGTTTATTAGCTATTGTTATATTATTAGATCGTTTTGATGTTGATTTTGTCTTGTTTTTTGTTTGTTTTGCATTCTTATGCTTTAAAACCGTTGAAATACTTCGAAGCGTTGTGATTGGTCCGAGATTATCAAACTCAGCCAATTCCTCCGAGTCGACTTCTTCTTCATCGTTAGTAATTTCAAGGTTATGTTTATGATTCTGATTATTAACTGGTATAGACGTTACCACTGTCCCGTTGACTTTACCAACAACTATATATTTGTTTTTGACATTGCTTGATGAAGCAAAGAAGTCATCCAGGTTATAATCGTCAATATTTTGAGTTCTTTTGTGGGAAAACGCCCCAGAAACATCATGGGAAACAGGTGTACCATAAGAAGTCACTGCTCCTGGTGTACCATAACTGACTTGAGGAGTGTGTTCATGTGGTACCAGATTACCAAAAGATGGAACATCATAACCATTATGAGCAAATGAAGAGAAAGGATTTGAAGGTGCCGGTTGACTGTACGTGGGCGTTTGTTGGAAGTGGGTACTACCAGCTTGTGTTGCATGGTAATTGTGGTTAGGGTGTTGGAAACCAGTATCCGGTGGGCTGTATTTCAGAGGAGGTGTACCTGCACTTGCAGGCGCGCCTGGGTCTAAAGGTAAACCATAATGATTTGATGGTGGACCATAGTTAACCGCAGGAGGTCCATAGTTGTTCGTAGGTGGAGCATAGGAAGGAGGAGGTCCATAATTACCCGAAGGTGGGCCGTAGGTATTAGAAGGTGGGCCATAACTATTCGAGGGTGGTCCATAGGTGTTAGAAGGAGGAGCACCGTAGTTGGTTGAAGGTGGTCCATATGTATTTGATGGAGGACCATAATTTGTAGAAGGAGGGCCGTAGGTATTTGAAGGAGGAGCTCCGTAATTCGTTGAGGGTGGTCCATAGGTGTTTGAAGGTGGGCCGTAACTATTCGAAGGAGGTGGTCCATAATTCGTCGTGGGAGGACCATAATTTGTTGATGGTGGGCCATAATTAGTCGAGGGTGGTCCGTAATTTGTAGAAGGCGGTCCATAACTATTTGAAGGAGGTGGGCCATAGTTATTAGAAGGCGGAGCACCATATGAAGTGCTAGGCGTGTAACTTGTCAATGGAGCACCGTAGTTATACGAAGGTGGTCCATATTTAGGTTTTGGGGGACCATACTGTGGTTTAGGAGGTCCGTAACTCGGTCTAGGTGGCGCTCCATATGCCGCTTTTGGTCTAGGGCGGTATCTTGGGGGCGGGGCTCTGTAGATGACCAATGGCGGTTCTCTTTTGACTCTTGTTACATTTTTTGTTTCTGTGCTTGCAACTATCACTATCTGAATGAAAATAATTCCCCAAATCTATAACAAAATCATTAAATTAATGAAAAAATCATTTTTGAGGTTATGTTTTGTTTTTGGTTATGTTTTACTGGTTGCAGGTTAAAATCTGTTGATTTAACCTTAGTTTTATGATTAAATTAATGCTTTATGTTAGTTTCTCATAATTTTCGGGTCAAAGTAAATCGAGTTCACGTTTTACGACTTACAGCGAGGCAGAAGTACGAATTGTGCACTCGATTGCACATCGTTGCACTTTTCGCGATGCGCTTCACTTCTGCGTCGGTTTCGCACTTTTCCTGCAAGTCAGTTAACACTCCTTTGCACTAATTTCTGCGCCGCTCTCGTTTAATAATTCCTCTGCGAAACTTTCGGAAACACAATCGACGCGCACTCGGAAACAAAACAGCGGTGCAACACACAGTAGCTTAGCAACGAACGCACCGTAAATAAACAAACAAACAACAACTCGGTTTTCACTTGTTGATTTCTTTCGATTTAATGCGCTTGATGCTCGCTTCTTGTATTCAGTTGTCTCGTGGGCGAGTTGCGGCGACGCATCGCGATGAGCTCGTCGAAGGTTGAAATGCGACTGGCGCGTTGAAAGAGCCGGAGGAAGAAGTTATATGCGTTATAAGCGAGCGCACGATGGCCGCCATGATGGCGAACGCACGATTCTTTCGATCGTGCGTGAAAAGCGAGATTTTTGAGCGTAATATGCACGAGTTGCAGTGAAAAATCGCTGAAATCAACAGCGGCGTTACACCAAGTCAGCTTCCGACAATAAGATTTAAACAATTAACATTTTCCAAGCCGGAAAATAGCAACAATAAGCACACAATTACGACATGAAACAAAGAAAAACAATTGCTACACACACATTATACATTTATTTGTATTATTAAACGAATGTTAAAAGCCCTCATCGTTTTGTTATTTTGTATTTCGTTATGTGTCATTTATTGCTGCAACTGCAACGTCTGATAGCGCTTATCAAAATTTCTATTTTGTGTTGTATGTGTGTGTGTATTGAAAGTTGCATGCATCGGCGCTATTTTGTTGGCGTGACAAATGATACGAGTTGCAGTATTTATTGGTTTTATTAGCCGACACGAATTCTGTGCGGATTCCTCGACTCTCGTTGCAATAACAAAACACTGCAAAGAATGCAATGTACAAATAAATACTATCAGTATTTATTTAATGAGTGTACAATAATTGAAGATAAAATCGTTCATGAAAGGTGATTTCTCTGGAAAATTAAAAATTTTCAAAGTTAAATTGCTATAAAACTAAAAGTGATAGAGTAATGAAACAAAGTGCTATTTATAAACAATTAATCAAAATTTGTCACATTGAAAGTTGAAGTACATAAAACTATTATGAAGAAAATGGCAGACATCTAAAGTTTTGATTCATCAAATTTCAAATATTTTTTTTAAAGTTGATTTTAGAGTAGAAATATTTTGTTTAAACTTTTGAAACTTAATCAATTTGATTAAGAATGTATTAAGCTTTGTTATTGCAAAAATTCAAAGTGTTTTGGCCATTAGAAACAAAATGGCGTGAAAATAAAGTTGGACTTAACAAATACTTACACTGGTAACACTTTTAAAAATTACTGATTACATAAACTTAAATTACTGCAAAAGTATAAATGTTTAAGCATTGCAACAAACGTGTGTTATTAAACAATAAAATTATCTTTTATATTCCAAAATTTCATTTACATCTGACAGTTAGAAACTAAATGGCGCATAAGTGAAGTTGACACTTTGAAAAATTAATATTTTTTGAATTTTTATAAAGTTTACTGAATATAAACAAGAAAAAAAAGTTTCTACGGTTTTATTTATTGAAATTATTTGTTGTTTATGTTCAAAAATAATTTAAACATGTAATAAAATCATAAATAAATTTCAAATTGAATTTCTCTCACCTGACGCAGCGCAATAAAACAAAAATTTCACGAAAACAAATTTCGTTTTTGTTGTTGACCAAGATGGCCGATAGCAAACAATAAAATCGAAAGTTAATTCGGCTTCTTTGAACGCTTACAGTAATAATGTAATAATATAATGTAATCACATAATAATAACAATTTGGTGTGATTTAAAGAGCAAATAATTTAATAATCTAATGTACATCGCATGTTCGCGTGTCGTTGAACTGATTCTGATGATTGTGTTGATAATTATCTTTGCTTTACGCGTAATTGTAATTTGCGGTTATATAAAATGAAAGAAATGTGGGTACTCCTGAAATTAGGCAACCAAATTAACTATTAACTTCACACACAAACAAATTTTTTTTATTTTCACGTTTTGTAACCGTTAAATCGCGTTTTAATTGGCTGTAATTTATGTGTTTTATGTGTGATGCGTAAATTATTATTACTATTGGCATGACTGATTAGGCGTTTAACACTTTTTAAGACTTTTAATATGTTTACACAGGTTTTGAAAAGGTTTTAATGGCTGAAGTAGCCGTCAAAAGTACTGTTAGTTTATGTTTCATGTTTAACGAGACGCCATTAATTAATGACACACTAATTTTTAAACGAGCGTTTACCAAAGTAGTAATTAAAGTTTAAACTGAACATATTTAATGAGTATGGGTCTAATTTATCGTTAAAAATTGTTGAAATTGCTTTTGTTTTTGGTTAAATAATTGATTTGGACCGTTATGATTAATTTTCATTGTTTTGCATAAATTTATTTATTAATAATGACAACAAAAGTACAGATAACTGATTTTCAGTACAATAAAAATATAATTTTAAAAATTTGTTGAAAAATGTTTGTTTGTATCGTTTTAACTAAGAAACGACTCAACCAATTTGGATAAATTTTTGTATGGAGGTTCTTCTGATCAAGGAAAGGCATATAGGCTACTTTTTATCACAAAAATATGACTTAGAAGGTATTTTGTTCTTAGAAGGTATATGTTCATTTTTAGAAAATAATACGAAATATGACAAAAATTATTTATATTTGATGATTATTTGATAAAATACATACTAAAAAAGTATGTCTCACAAATTTCAATTAATTTAGTTGATTAGATTAAAACTTACAGCTTGTCAAATTCAAACTAAGAACATAGAAGTTAAATTTAAGAAAAAGAAACATAGAAACGTGTTACTTCACACAAGTACGACTATTTTTTATTTTTTTCATTCGTATTGTGTGCTTGCTTATTCATACTCACATTCAAAGTGTGAAATCATGTCACACGTCGCATTTTAATTTTAACTGCGTTAATAAAAACGATTTTATTTACTTCTAGCGTTTTTTCTCGTGTGTGTGTAATCAAGTCGTGATCAACGATGACGTTAACAAGTGATGATATTTTGATGATTAAATAAATCACATAAATTAATAACTTTAAAACTATTAGGATTTTTTATTAAATATAATCAAGTTAAAATAAAAATATAAGAAAAAATACTAATAAAAAGTAAAAATATGTTAATTAAAAATTAAATTTTAAGCATAACTACACGTTTTGGGAAAAGGTTAAAAGTTAAGTATGGAGTATAATCAGCGTATAATTAAATATAAATATGTTTAGAATGTTTAGGAGTATGGTGTGAGCGTAAAAGAATGTTGAAAATGTGTTAAAAAGGAGAAAAATGCTAAAAAAATTTAAAAAATATAAAAATTACAACTAAATTTTATGATTATTGAGTATAGGAAATAATAAATACGTTAAAACACAGGTTTTTAAATTAATTTATAATTAATTGTATAGTCTAGGCACCAAAACATGATATTTACATTTTTAAGCATTTACCACAAATATATGCAACCAAAAATACATTTAAGAATATTTTTGATCTACTTTCATAGATGTGAGAGTAAAAAATGTGTAAAAAGTGCAAAAAAAGATGGAAAAACGCTAGAAATTATATAAATATTATATTTTCAACTAAATTTTACATTTCTATTAAGTAAATATGATCTTGCGCATATTCTGGCCAATGACAATCTCCAACGATGAGTTGCACCGTCGATGTGATGAAACTCCCATTATAAATCAAATACGCAAGAGAAAATGGGGGTGGATTGGGCACATCTTGAGAAGAGACGCCGGAGATATCGCCAGAAATGCGCTAGAATGGAACCCACAGGGGAAGAGAAGGGTTGGTAGACCGGCCAATACCTGGCGAAGATCCACAATAGAGGAGCTCCGAAACCAAAATATGGGCTGGAACGAAGCAAAGGCGGTTGCCCGAAACAGAGTCCGTTGGAGGGCGCTTAGTGAGGCTCTATGCTCCACATAGGAGCCAAGAACATTATATATATATATATTAAGTAAATATAACAAAAATACGTTAAAAACACAAGTTATTTGAATTTTTGAGTATTTCCAGCAAATATATGCAACCATTAAAACATTTATAAACACTTTTTACCTATTTTTAAAGATTTTAAGTATAGTTATTCAGTTCTTCCCTAGAAACATAAAGAGAAATATTAAATAGTTACAGAAATTGGTTATGTACTGTTGTTTGCCTATAGTAAAGTTAATTCTGACAATATTGTAACGTGTATTCAACACATTCCTGCACTATTGATTGATTGTTCTTCAGTTCTGTGCCTGTTAACTTAAGTTAAAGAGTTTAAGAGTAAAATTGAAACTTCCAAAATTGCAAGATCACGAACGGAACGAAAGACGCGTCGTGCCGCGCCGTCCTACATACTTGTAGACTTATTACACTCGTACGTCAAGTGCAAGCAAGCACACAAGCACACAGAAAAACTGCAAGAAGTAGGTACACTACACAGCTCGGAATCAGCTAAATTGCTGAATATTCCACTCACGAGTCGCGCTGAAGTTTCGCGGCGGCGAAAAGAAAGTAAGATTACGAGCCGCTGATTACGATTTACAATCGCGGATCGCGATGATGAAGGTGAGGATTGCTGCGAATGGCAAAACACACTTCGCTTGACCTCTGCATACTATGTAAGTATTCATATTCAAGACTTTAATGCATTCACAACAAAAACGACAAAATTATAATTAAAATTAAAATTGAACAAGAGGCGGTTTTATGTGCTGTTAATGGTTGATGATTGGTAGATTATTAAGAATGTGTGATTCACTCTTACTATGTCGTACGCATAGACATGTACGCATATAATTATAGAGTATGCAACCCAATTAACATTTAAAGTAGAACATGTGTGTTAAGTTTAGTAAAACGTTAATTTGGAGAAAATCTACTTGTGTGAGATGGTTCAAATTTAGCACACAGCTTAAGTAGATGTGGAGTTAAGATGTAAAATTTAAAACGTACAATTAATTTAATTATTACACATTTTACAGACAATTTAATTAATGACTTGCTTTTAAAATATTTTTTTTTGTAAAAAACGCGTAATTTTTATATTTTTTAATATTTTGTTATTATTTTAGTATAAAACAATTATTTATTTATATATCTTTAGACTTAAAAACAAAAAAATATTTTTTTTGTTAATTTTCAATGGTTATTTACTATTTTTACTAAAAATTAATAAAAAACAGATTTTTTTCTCTTTTAAAATACTAAACTTTCATTGATTGCAACACA